CTGCTGGAGTAGTTGTAATTTTAATAACTCCACAGGTGGGTGTTCAGGTAACTGCTGCTTTTATAGCTCTTCCCACACTCCATGCATTTATAGGGTTTTTCTCCTGTGTGGACCAGTTTTTGGGAACGAGAGCACCCTTTACACTGAAACTCTTTCCATACTCCATGCATTCATATGGTTTTTCTCCTGTGTGGACCAGTTGATGAGAAGTAAGAGACCTCTTTACACTGAAGCTCTTTCCACACTCCATGCATTTATAGGGTTTTTCTCCTGTGTGGACCCGTTTATGGGAAGCAAGGTCACAGCTTTGCCTGAAGCCCTTCCCACAGTCTAGGCATTTATAGGGTTTTTCTCCTGTGTGGATCCTTTTGTGATATTTCAGACACACTCTGTGCCTCAAGCTCTTTCCACAATCTAGGCACTTATACTGTTTTTCTCTGGTGTGGATCTTTTTATAAGAAGTTAAATTACCTCTCCATCCAATACTTTTTCTACGGTTCACATCGTTGTAGGGCTTCTCCCTTGCCTGGATCATTTTATGTGAAGTAAGATTATTACTACTGGAGCTTTTTCCAGTTTTGCAGTGGTTACTAACATCGGGGTTTGCTTTTAATCTTTTTCTACTTTGACATTTCCCCATATATTCTTTGGAATCACGTTGGGTCAGGAAAAGATCCATTTCCACACATTCAAGAATTGAGTTTTCACTCCAATTGTGCTTCTTTTCAGATTTCCTCCTTCCCCACTTATTTGTAGATGTCTCCTCAGGAATTTCAGTTTTGATTATTTGCAATGGCACTAAATTTGGCTCTTGGTCATTCTCCTTCTTCTGCGCATCAAATGCTTGTGGGGGGAAGAAAAATAAATTAGAATAATCTACAACATCCAGTTTAGTGTCCCTATGCATTGATTTATCTATTACTGGGCATGTCCGGAGAAAGGAATGAGGGAAATGACAGCATGGATATTAGTTACTAACTTAAAAGACTAGCATGGCTCCTCATCTACCCCCCATTCTTGGCAGTTAAAAAATTAAAGGAAAAACAAGTCTTGACATCAGGACGAGGCATGCAAATTGTCTCAACTATGACCCACCCAACTTGCATTCAATAAGACAACATATGTCATTGCAACCCAAAGCAATGCAAAATTTGTTGCTGAGTAGGACAACTGTAACAAGCAAAAAAAATCCTCTCCCTGATCATCTTCCCAATAACTCTGCAGTAATGACCCAGGGCTCCAGGATGACCACAAGACTGAATGTCACCACAATGATCTCTTTCTTCTAAATCAAACTGGGCTACTTAGAAGACCATGAAGGGGAACTGGAATTAATGTAAGAGGAAAAAAGAAGAGATGAAATCATTTTTAACAAGTTACGCATAGATCTAAGTTGTAAATAATTTATCTAGTGACACCTTGCTCTGACTTAAATTTTCCTCCAGATGAACCGTTACCTAAAGAGGCCACCATCCTAGACGTTTCCAACATGACTTCTTGATACAGGGCTTTCTGGCTGGGATCAAGCAGCAACCACTCTTCACTGTTGAAATGGATGGCCACCTCCCCAAAGGACACAGGACCCTAAAGAAGAAAGAATCCCAATGAGAAGACTCGACAGAGTTTGCAAGATCTCCTTCAATCTGCAAATCCTAAAAACAGAAATGTCTATGGAGATTTGCAGTCATCCATGGTCACAGTTGCCCCAAAGGTGCTTTTTTCAAGAGTTAACTGGACTTTCTGCTTTTTCTTTGAAGACATTTTGCTTCTCATCCAAGAAGTTTCTTCAACAACCAGAAAGTCTAGTTGCCTCTTCAAAAAAAAAAAAAAAAAAAAAACACCTTTGGGACTAAAAGCCAAAGTAAAAATCCTTGATTGGACATTCCCTAGGTGGACTCAACACATATGATAAAAAGGGCAGAATTCATAGCCGATAGCCAATTAGGGCATGTTTTATCACTTTTACTGACTGCTGACCTTCAATATCAACCTGCCTTGATCAAGTGGCATAGCGTCCCTAAGACACATCATCTACCAGTGGCCTCAACATTTCATATTTGCAAGAGGTTCCGTGGGATTTCTGTTTGACATAGTAACCAAATGGGCCTTGTGATTCTTTAAAGTGTCAGCCCTGCTCACACTCATGAGCATCTCAATTTAACATTTTTCTTAGGTTTTTGAAGTATAAAATACAAAGAAAGAAAAGCCATGGAAAAGTAAGAAGAGAGGAAGGGGAAAAGAGGGGATGACATGGCCAGCAGGTGACATGCCCAGAGAATCTCCTCTCTCTGGACAGTCATTTTTCCAACTTAACAGGAGGAGCAGGACTCCTTTTGTCTGCTTGACTTTCTGAGGTTAAGGAAAGTCCCAGAATCATCCCTCAAGATCCTCCGATAACAGCAACAGCCAGCACGCAGTTTTAGGAGCTGAGCTTTCAAGATAACTGGGGGGCTGAAGCTAGGAGCTGGGGTCAAAACCACGTTGTTGTTGGACAAAGGAGCTGCTTTGGCGTTTATTTTTCAAACGGACTATAAACTGTGTCCTTCATTTCTTTTTATTTTTTTAAGTTTTTATTTTATATCCTATAAAAGTTTCAATTTCAATTGAACAATGTGTTGCCTGGGTACATGTTATTTAGAAAATAGTGATAGAAACATTTACAACAGTATTAATTCTATGATAATATTTACTTATCCATTTTAACAAATCTCTCTTATAACACTAGTTCTTTTCTTACATTTCCATGTTTCTAACTTTTGTTTTAATTGGCCTACCATTGATAAAACAGGTCCCATGTCAAAAAACATTCAGTTTCCTCCTTTTCTTTAATTATCAATGTTAGTCTATCCATTGCTGCATGTTCTAATACTATCTCTCTCTATAAAAATGGCTGTGTGTGTGTCTGTGTCTGTGTATGTTCCAGCATAACTCTGGAACGTCTCAAGCAATTTCAACCAAACTTGGCACACAGATTACTTACTCTCTGGAAACAAATACTGTGGGGGTAAGACACCCCTAACACCCCTTGGGGTGTGTATTCTATTAAGATACAGCCTGTTGTGCCTTAAAATGGCTTCTACTGTACTGCCTTAAATGGCTTCTACTATACAGCGCTGTGGAGTTGCCATGGTAACAGCCTCACAGTACTCCACAAGGGGTCTCTCTGGTAAGGGGGAAAATCCAACATTAGAAATTATGTTTTTTCTGGACATTTTCAACAAGGCTTTGATTATTCTTGAGGACAAATGTATGGTCAATAAAACATTACTGCAACTTGGCCTGCCTGCACCATTACAAGACTGACATCACATACTTCATGCAGATTACATACAAGAAAAGGACTACAATGTCAAACAGTTTACTGCATATATTGCGGACAAGAAGATACTTCTAAATCAAGTTCATAAAAAAGCATACCAAATGATCATGGATCAGGTAGCATCGGGTTTTCTGTTCAATGTGTGGAGTGTGAAGGATGTGTGTTTGTGTTTATTTTCATGGTCATGATGTGCACTGAAGATGGTGTTTGATTTCATTGTTTGAGGTGCAGTGACGCTTCTGGGGCCACAGGGAAAACATTTGTATAATTTAATTGTTGCTGAAATCAGGGCTTTTCCTGTCTAGTTGTTAATAATAATATTAATATTATTAACAATAATAACAAGGCTGAGAATTCTTCAAGAAAAAATGACATAATAGCTATTTCAGTGAGGGAATATTTAATCGGGGAAGATTTGCTGCAGACCAATTTACAACGTCTAACAGAACAACTTTGGGACTTTTTTTTCAAGGGTATAAAAAAAGCTGAGAACTTTAGGAAAGGAGACTTGATACTCTCCCAAGAAGAAAAAGACCCTATTCTATGAACATAAGCTGGAGGGAGTGACTTTAATATGGTTTAATTAATTAGGATGGATTTTTTTTTAAAATTGATATATGTACTGTTAGAAAGCTTTTAGTTTTGTATTTTTAAAATGAATATGTATTTATACCCAGGTCTGCCGAACAACATCCTAAAGTGCACCAACATGCCTACCGTCCCTGTCCTATTGTTTCTCTTATTCTTCTTTTATTTTTCTTCTATGTACCCATTTCATGTATTCACAACTATGTATTCACTTATACTTATTATCTTGTAAACAATTGGCAAATCAAATAAATAAATAAATAAATAGATTTGAAAATATGAGAATGAATGATCTATTATTCCCTAAATCAAGGAGAAGCTGAGATAGTGAAAATGATTATTTTCTCCAAATAAGAGATTATATTTAATTTTGTCTCAAGCTTGAAATTGCTTTTGGATTTTCTGTTTGCAATGAGAAAAAAAATGAAACTTTGTGTTTTTGTAAACTAGACAGGCTTATTGTTATAATTTGTGCATACTGTTGTGTAAAAAGCAAAATGTTGTGGTTGGAATGTTATTATCTTCGACTGTGCCAAAGAGAATTGGAAGTAGATGCCTTTGCCCCCCCCCCCATTATACTATACCCCCTCTTTTCCCCTTCCTCTCTTCTTACTTTTCCATGGTTTTTTTCTTTGTGTTTTTTATACTTCAATAAAACTAATAAAAAAGTTAAATTGAAAAAAAACACACACATGAACCTTCATGAAAATACTAGGGAAGCACTTCCAGGCATCAAGATGTAGATGATACACAAAGCAATTTCTGCTTCTCCTGTTTTTATCCCTTTCCCCAATGATAGAAAACCAATATTACACTTGCAATAAAGTAGATTTAGACTAACTATTCATCTCCTTTCTGCTTTATTTGACACAGGCCACATGAACTGCCATGTGGCATTTTTTGAAACAAGAATTATACAACCACTAAGGAATTCCACACATCTTCAAAACTTTGTTGAGAGGTGGACCAGTTTGACTGTTCACAAATTTAAATTTCTAATTCTAATTTCCTTGTGCTTTGCTCAGGAATAGCAGTATCATATGTTGAGTCCCCAAAGGAAACTAGGTCTCCTATTGCTCCCTCATATAAGCTGCTAATCTCTTCCTTCTTACCTGAATCAGGAATCCAGTGGCTCTTTCAGCTTCACCAAAAGGAGATAATTCAGTGAACAACGGTGACTCCATTTTGTCCACTGGGAAGGGGAGAGACAGGATGGAAACAGGAAAGGGTCCAACTTCATCTTTTCTAGCTTGAAGGCACAAATTAAGATTTCTTCCTGTCCTGCCCAGGAAACCTCCATTTTTCCTCTTCTACACTGCCTTTCATAGGCTCCATCATGGGAGCCAAGAATAAAAGGAGAAGACCAAACGTGATGCGTTGCCGGTCCCACTGCGGGGATGAGGGGTCAGCTGGCGGCCTGCGCCCGGACCGACTGCCCGGGCGGGCTTCTCTCGCGGTGGCAATGATGACAACGACACAAAGGCTTGTTCTTGGGAGAGGAAGCCCAGAGCAAACTGTGCCCCCTTCTTTTATTGTGCCAGTTTAGGGTGGGATTTGTGATGTGTGTGGAAATAGTACATTTGACCATATAAGGCTATGTTTGGCATAGTTTGACCATATAAGGTTACATTTGGTATAGTTGACCATATAAGGTTACATTTGGCATGGTTGACCATATAAGGTTACATTTGGCATGGTTGACCATATAAGGTTACATTATGTTGACCAATCACATCTTTACACATGTTGTTGGCTGTTTTGTTACCTGGCAGGTATAGTGTCATTGGGTGATATCGCAACATCTCTGTTTTAATTTTATTTTAAGGGCTATTTACTCACTATCCTCACTATTATGTCCAGTCTAGGTCCTCCGACTCATCCTGACATAGGTTCGTGAGAATTCGTGGTTCCCCTTTACCAGCACTTTTGGTGAACTCATTATCCGAGTTATCGGAATCCGAGGAGAATTGCAAGAGGGCCTTTTTCTCTATTAACGCATTAATTTGCTTTTGTTTTGAGGTTAGATCCGAATCGATTTGGCCAAGTTTTATTTTAAGGAATCCTAAGAGTTTACTTAGCACATATGGTCCAATGGTACATGCCAACAAGAGAAGGATAAGTGGACCAGCTATAGCAGATAACAATGTTGTTAACCATGGGGAAAGGTTAAATAATCCTTGATACCAGGTATGTTGTGAAGCTCGTTCCCTCTCTCTTTCTTTTAATCTGGTGTCTAGTTCTTTCATGGAATCTAGGACAACTCCTGAGCTATCAGCATAGAAACAACATTCTTCTTTAAGAGCAGCACATAGTCCCCCCTGTTTCAAAAACAAGAGGTCTAGGCCTCTGCGGTTTTGCAAGACCACCTCAGATAAAGAAGTAAGAGAAGTTTGCAAGGCAAGAATGGATTTTTCGATTCCTCTAAGATCTTCATCTATGGTGGCACTTAACTGTCTTAAGCTGTTATCATTTACAACCAAAGCTGATATGCCTGTTGCTGCACCTGTAGCACCTAAACCCAGCAGCACAGATAAGGTAAGAGCTGTAACAACTTCTCGTTTGGCTCGTAGATGGTATTGTTGAGGTTCTAAAATGGAAATAAAATCTTCAGAATCATATACATCAATTTTTGGTAGTAGCTGAACCTGAATACAGAATGATTTTTTTGCCAATAATACATCTCCGTGGACACATGCAGTTAAACCTGTAGAGCAAGCCCAAACAGAGTTATTTCCAGGAATAAAAAATTGGCCTTGGAGGCGTTTTATGATATTGCCACCGGATGTGGTGAATACCTGGTTGTAACCTCCAACTAAAAGGTCGGTTCTTTCCTTAGGTAGATAAAGTTCACATCTGTGTTTGTGGGTGGCATTAAGGCAGTATTGTGAATAATTAGTAGGTATGTGACCAAGACAGCAGCCTTGACCAGTGATGGCCATGATAGTGAGAGAGCTATTCCTCCATCGGCAATTTTTATCAGAAGTGGAGTTGGAGATAGGTTGGGAAGAGCCGATGGCTTCATAAAAAGGGGGGGTTGAGGACAAGCAAAGCCAGCAGTGCTGGGAAATGGAGGAATCTTGGGAGCTATTCAATAATGCATAAGAGGAAGCAATAAGGGATACCAGTGGGTTCTGGGCATTTGTTAAGGGTTTCAAAAATTCGGATTGGATTTGGTTAGTATTGGGTCCCACAGGTGGGGATGGGGAAAGATGAACATGGCGTTGTATATAGAAAACGTTCCCATAATGATATCCAGGCCACTTGGCATAAATGCGACCTCCCCACTTTGCTCCAGTGTCCCAAATGTTACTTTGTCTCCCTTTGGCCGTAAAGGAGACAGTCACTGGATTACATCTGGACCATTTGTTTTTACCTGCCATACATTGTACAGCCTGGGTGGTTCTGGTAAGTGTGATGAGATCGTTCTTCAAGGGAGGTGTCCAGGAAATGTGACCAGTTGAGACACAAGACCAGGATTTGCAATAGTAATCAGAAATTCCTCCGCAGGTGTGGATATGGTCTGCATCAGTAATATGTCCTGGGCAAACATACAGGTGATGTCTCTTAACAATACTATGGCTTGGGGAAGGGGCATCAGCGGGATGAGAGTAGGCAGTTTTACCTAAAATCATTTCAGCAAAGTCAAAATATAATTCAGGGAAATAGGAAGAAATCATGGTGTAATTAATTGTGGAGTTGAGTATTTGTCCATAAGCGTCCTTGATTGTCCATGTGATGTTGTAGGGGCGATGAGCGTTGTCATGAGATGATGAAAGTGTGGCTTCAGGAAGGAAGCAGCAGCAAAGAAGTAAAAGGATCTTCATCCTGGTCAGTGGAGGCGCCCGTTGGAGAGGGATTGGAGGGCGAGGAGTCACGGTGGTACGGGCGAACACACCTGGCAGGGACCCAGAGTACTCGTTCAGGAAGTTGGATAGCGGCGTAGCCTCGTCCCCAGGTGATCAGCTCAGCGGGTCCCTTCCACTCAGGATCAGGCAACTGTCTATAATAAACAAGCGGTCTCAAAGTGGGAACAGGTGGTTTAGTAAAATGTCGTAACGCAGCAGACAAGGGAGGGGTGCCATTTAGATTCAGAAAATTAAGCGTATACAGACAAACATTTAACACATTTTGCAGTGTCGGGAGGCTAGGGGGGGCCACTGAGGCCTTTGGACCCCATGTATCGTTGTAAGGCCAATTTCAGGGTTTGGTGAGCTCGTTCAACTATAGCCTGCCCTTGGCTGTTGAAGGGGATCCCAAACTTATGGACAATGGACCATTGATGGCAAAATTGAGAAAAGTAAGAACTAATGTATGCAGGTCCATTGTCTGTTTTTAGAATTTTTGGGCATCCCAATACTGTGAAAGTCCGAATACAATGATTTATTACTTGTTTTGCCGTCTCCCCTCTTTGGGGAGTCGCCATAATAAATCCTGAGAAAGTATCGATGGAAACATGAAGATATTTCCAAGGTGCAAATGGCTGAAATTGAGTGACGTCCATTTGCCATGCCTCACATGCTTGTGTACCCCTGGGATTGATTCCTTGGGGGCTGTTTTTTGCTTGCAAACTGCATGTTGGGCATTGCTGTATAATGGCAGTTGCTTCAGCCAATGTGATGCCAAATTGCTTTACTAGGGCCTTTTTGTTTTGATGGAAATAACTATGGCTTTCCCCTGCAGTCAAGGGGGCGGGTTAAGGTGTTTTAACAGTGATGGGAAGTAATTTGCAGGCGGCATCTGCTACCTGGTTTCCTTCAGAAAGAATTCCTGGAAGATGTTGGTGGCTACGTATGTGAGCTACAAACAAGGGGTGTGCCCTAGATTGAATGAGTGTTTGCAGCTGAAGTAGCAATGTCATTAACGATGGTTGTATGGAAGGTGACAGGTATGCCTCAAAGATATGTAAAACTAATTGAGAAACATACAAACTATCTGTGATGATATTAACTGGTTGTGCAGGGAATAATTCCAAGGCTAGGTTGAAGGCAGCCAGTTCAGCTTGTTGGGCCGATGCCTGTGGTGTTGTGAGTTTTTTATGCCATGCGGATTGAGTAAACCACACGCAGACACCATGTACCTTTGACCCATCAGTGAAAATAGTGAGGGATTCCTTAAGAGGAGCAGAAGTAATAGGAGAGGAAAAGGTGACCGGAATGGTCTTGATAAGTTGCAAACGATGGTCAGATGGAAGATGGCAAGAAATAGAGCCAAACCAATTTTCCAGAGCATCCTGCAATACATCGGATACCTGAAAAAGGGGTTCCCATTGAGATAATTTGAAGGGGACATGAATAGCGTGAAGGTCATGGCCAATCAAAGCCTTGGCTCGGTGTCTGCCCTTTTGGAGGAGTTGGGCAATTTGTAAAGGGCGAGGAGTAAGAGTCACCCGGGGTGTGTGAGGGAGGTGTAGCCATTCAATGATCATCAAGCGCTTTGGTGAATCGGGGGAAATTTGAAAAAGAATAGCAGTAAACAAGGACGGGGTGGGTAGAATTGCCAGAGAGAGGGGATTATTTGGAAGGAAGCGGTCGACCCATACAGTCTACAGCGTGTTGTTAACTTCAGTTAGGGCTTGAAAATGAGCTTGAGAGAGGTGAACTACATCAGAAGGGTGCTTTAAGCCGGTGAGTGCGTGGAAAAGCGGAGATAGAGTTGCCGTGGTGACAGATAGATAAGGTCGCGCCCAGTTGAGTGTGCCTAGATATTGCTGGAGCTGTACGAGAGTGGGGGAGGGAGGAAGATTTAGAGAGGGTAAAGCTGGGGTAGCAGCGGATAACAAGAGTTTATGGCCGAGGTATTGGAAAGGGTAATGGGATTGTATTTTTTCAGGAGCTATGTGGAGACCTGCTGCAGTCAAAAGTTTAGTAAGAGTGGGAAGAGTTTTGGCGACTGTGCCTTTTGGGCCTTCAGCTGCAATGAGAATGTCATCCATGTAATGATACACGAGGAAGGAAGGATGTAGATTGCGGTATGGTTGGAGGGCTGCATCTACATAATATTGGCACATAGTGGGAGAATTTAACATACCCTGGGGAAGGACCTTCCATTGGTATCGTTTGGTAGGCTTTGAGTTGTTAAATTCAGGGACAGTGAAAGCAAAAAGGAGTCTATCTTGGGGTTGCAGAGGAATGGAGAAGAAGCAATCTTTCAGGTCTATAACTATCAGATCAAAATGTTGAGGAATGAGGTTAGGATTTGGAAGACCGCATTGTAAGGCGCCCATCGGTTGAATAATGGTGTTAATGGCTCGAAGGTCCTGTAGGGGGTGCCATTTTCCGGATTTCTTTTTGATTACAAAGACAGGAGTATCGTAAGGACTAGTGGAAGGTTCGATATGTGCAGCAGCCAATTGTTCAGAAACCAGTTCTTTGAGAGCTGTCAATTTCTCTTGGGTAAGGGGCCATTGATCCACCCACACCGGAATGGTGGATTTGAGGGATAGAGGGAGGGAGAGAGTCATGATCAAGGAAAGTGGAGAGTGGCGTGAAATTGGGAAAGGAGATCACGGCCCCACAGATTGAAGGAAATGGGAAGGATATAAGGTTTAATAAAGGCAGAAGAGGAGACTCCAGCGGTGGAAGCAGATAACCATCGAGAGCTGACCTGGGCAGCTTGAGCACCGCCGACGCCGTGGACAGAAGGCGAAGGGTCAAGGGGCCATGTAGTCGGCCACTCAGAAGAAGAGATGACAGAAGCGTCCGCGCCCGTGTCGACAAGTCCTGTAAAAGGATGACCATTCAGTGAGACAGTCAACAGGGGTTTGGAAGCTTCAACAGGGCGATCAAGTGCCATGAGCGAGGAAGAGGGAGAAGGAAGAATAATAAGAGTAGCCACAATGGTATGTTTTTGTAGGGTGAAAGGACGATCCCCAATTGCGGCTAGAGAGAGGTTGTTAAGAGCGGAGGAGTCGTATAAGAATGGAGAAGCAACGACTCCTTCGATAATCAGTGAAGAATTAGGCATTAATAAGATTGGAGTAGAGGGAGGAAGGGGTTTAAGCATTGTGACCGTAAGAGGAAGAGTAAATACAGAGCCAGGATCCTCATAGACAATAGTTTCAGATAGGGTAACAGGGTAGGAGGAGGGTGAGAAAGAGGTGGAATCAGAAGGCAGAGAATGCGCGGCCTTGGGGATGGGGCTAGCCGCCGGCCCCGAAATTAGTTTTCCGAAGGTTTGGGTTGATTGGGGGGTGGATTAGAGCGGCATTGACTAGCCCAATGGAATCCTTTGCGACAGCGAGGACAAATAGTTTTAGGTTTAACAGAAGGGGAAGAGGGGGAGCGGCCGCGTGGAGCGCCGCCCCCACCTGGCGCTCGGCACTGGGATTTGAAATGACCGGGCTTACCGCAATTAAAGCAGTTGCCAGAGCGTGGGGCAGCCATAACAAAAGAAGAGGAAAGAGCAGAGACAAGAGCTGAGGCAGTGGACTGAGCACGATGAGACTCTGTGCCCACATCCTGACAAGCACGGATATAGTCAGCAATAGTTTGATGGGGGACAGATTGAAGCGGTTTGAGTATTTTTTGACAATCAGCGTTAGCGTTGGTAATCGCAAGTTTTGAAAGAAGCTCCGCCTGGGCTTGAGGATTATCAATTTGGCGGTTAATTGCCTCAGAAAGGCGATTGATAAAGGTAGTGTAGGGTTCGGAAGGTCCCTGAAGAATTTTAGTGAAGGAAAGAGAAGGTTGCGAGGGATCAGGGACACGGCGAAAAGCATTAAGAGCAGCATTGCGCATGATATCATACCCAGGGGCGCCAATCGTGATTTCCTGGCGTGGTTGTTGGACCGTATTTTGACACAGGAGATGATCAAGGGTGACATTTTGAGGCAAACCATTGGCGGCAGCAGTAGTAACAGCCAAGCGATAGTTGTTATGCCATGCAGCAAGTTGGGAGGAAGTTAAAAGCATATTAGCCATCATCTGCCACTCAGAGAAAATGATATTATGATTACTGGAGATATTTTCCAAAAGCGTACGGACGTAGGGTGACTTGAGACCGTACTTAACAGTGGCAGATTTGAGTTCTTTCATGAGATCCCAGTCCATAGGAGTATAGTGCGGAATGGGCGCGGCGCCGGCAGCGGCACCTTGAGGAATTTGAAGAACCATGGGGAAGCAGGAGAAGTCTTCCCCGGTGAGTTGGCCAGTGGCGAGAGCATGTTGAAAGGTATTATGGACAGGGGAAGGAAGACGGGGGGAAGGCAGCGAAGGCGGGGGATGGGGTGAAGAAGGAGTAGACGGCAGAGGAGTTGAGGGAGGATCATAAGGTGGCGGAGGCAAGGAAGGATATAGGGATTTGGTAGGTTCGTAAGGAAGGGGGGCGGAGGGAGGACAGGGATCGGAAGAGGTAGGATCAGGGGGAGGATTAGGTGTGATGGAACGGGTAGGGACAGGATCGGAAGGTGGGTAAAGGGTATTGAGTGCAGCCATAACGGCGCGCCAAGCACACATAATGTCAGGTGGAGCACGAGGAGGTTCATGAATCCATTTCCCGATGCGCTCCCAAGTAGAACGTAGGAGAGTACCCTCCTCAGGATAAGCAGGACAGTGTTTTTGGAGATAAAGGAGAAAGGAGGTAATATTTTTGCGAGAGAGAGGATAGATAGTAGTGCCGTTAATTTTCTGTACAGAATTAGCCTTCCTGACTAAAGAGTGAAGCTCATCCACATGCTTGGACAGAGCTTTGGAAAGTGAGGAGCCCATACTTACGATGCGTATGCCGATACCCGGTGCGTAAGATGAGAGTCAAGGCAACGTATTCCTAGAAAAGAATCACAGGATAACGTCGGGGGTCACCAGTTGATGCGTTGCCGGTCCCACTGTGGGGATGAGGGGTCAGCTGGCAGCCTGCGCCCGGACCGACTGCCCGGGTGGGCTTCTCTCACGGCGGCAATGATGACAACGACACAAAGGCTTGTTCTTGGGAGAGGAAGCCCAGAGCAAACTGTGCCCCCTTCTTTTATTGTGCCAGTTTAGGGTGGGATTTGTGATGTGTGTGGAAATAGTACATTTGGCCATATAAGGCTATGTTTGGCATAGTTTGACCATATAAGGTTACATTTGGTATAGTTGACCATATAAGGTTACATTTGGCATGGTTGACCATATAAGGTTA